ACTTTAACTTCTATATAGAAAAATCAGAAGTTATTGCAAAATAAAATTTTAATTGATTATGGGACTCAAACAAATCCTTTGGAATATGAAAAAGGATCTTCTCAAGATTGGAATATTAGCGATGATAAAACTTCAGCTAGTATTAGACAACAAGTTAAAGAAGTAGCTGAATCAGCTTTGTTGCAAACTGGTTTTGTTTATGAAGAAACCTCTGGTTTATATTATGATTATAACAGTGGCTATTATTATGATGCGGTAAATATTTATTAAAATATACTTTTACATTTGTTCACTGTTGCTATTAAATTGTATATTACATAAGGAAATATGTTTCAGAAACAAGGTTTATATTATGATGGTAATACGGGTACATATTACTATTATGATGAAACTAATGGGACATATCAGTTCCATAGCCAAGCACAAGTAACTATGAATGAAGCAGCTGCACATGTGCAAAGCAAGAAGGAGCAGAAAACTAGAAAGGCAATTAAGGTTTAAATTTAAACTATCGTTATGTTACGCATTTCTAAAGAAAATTGATCGCAGACGAAAATTTTTGGTTTCAGGTTTCGGATGACATACATGAATTAATAAACGGCCTTTCAAACATAACAATAGAAAAATACAGGCGTCAAGCTCTAGGTAATTATCCTATGCGCTTAATATGCACACATGTCTCTCTTGTAGGATGAGGGGAAAAAACGCAAACTTATGAAAAGAGAAGAACAGTTGGAAGATGATGAACTTGAGGAGGGTGAATGTTCAAGCAACGATAACGACAGCATTTCTAATGACATTACTCCAGAATTATGTACTAGTAGTGACAGTGACCATGAAGAAGACCAAGGTTTATTTTGTATTTGTTTTTCAAAATATTATTTGCCACAAAAGTTAGACATATTTTATTGGCTAATGATTTAGTAGCATATAAAATGAGTACAATCATAATTTATTCTAATATTTCGTTTTATATTTAGTCAGACATATTAATTTTAATTATAACAATATAATCAGTAGCTTAAGTACAAATTTACAAGTAATATTTGATATATGTTACGAATTGAAATGTATAATTTAATTTTTGGTTGTAACAATACATTAATCATTTCAGATATAGCAAAAATTTATCCACCATGCATGCGAATTATAGTTAAAGAAACCAGTCTACCAAAATTAAAAGTTGGAAGTCTTTTTCTCGTTGCGTATACGGGAGGTTCAATTGGTCGAGAAGGTGATCATTGCGTAGTTATTTCGGATATAAACATCAGTAAAGTGAGTAACTGTGAATAAAAGTTTCTGTATTTAAGAAGAAACTCATATGTATAAAATACTTAAAAAAAGCTTAAATGTTTTAGCATCATGCTCGATTTGTATATAACGAAGATAAAAAAATGTACGAAATCATAGATTTGGGATCAAGAAATGGTACGTTTTTGAACGGTAAAAGATTATCCGTGGCCAAACAGGAATCTGAACCTTTCGAAATTTCACATGGTTCGATTATACAAGTTGGTGTTACGAAGTTACTGTGTCATATTCACAATGGAAATGAAACTTGTGGTCATTGCGAACCCGGACTCGTTCAACAAAGCAATAACGCAGAAGAAAACAAAGCTTCCAAAAAAGAGCAACATAAACAAGAGTTAAAACGATTAAAACATAAATTTGGTGTAGACAAGGACAACATTGTGTCTGCCAGTCAAGTGGCGTCGGGGTATCAAGATAGAGCGCAAAGCAGAAGACAGTGCATTGGTTCTTCGAATCATCATGCTAAAACGCAACAAAGTTCAATGGAAACGTAAGTAATTTATTCATTATGTTAAACTTTAAAAGCAATCATTTTCTTTTTTTCTTAAATCATTTTTATCAAAGAAGAGTTTCTTACTCCTTCCTGCAATACTTTAAATGCGTTATGCGTTTCATTTATAGATCCATAGCGAAGGATAACAGAGGATTCAAGCTTTTATCAAAAATGGGCTGGTCCGAGGGACAATCGTTGGGGAAAGAAGGAAACGGGCCTACTGAACCGGTAAGTCTTGGATTCCATAAACATTTTTAACTCATTTTACATTTACTTCTTACGTTCTGATAAGCGGCATTGCACAAATTTATGCTTCAGATGCAAGTATACACGTTCATAAATATAAGTCGATAAAATGCAAATTAACAGAGCAATCAATTTTGCAATACAATTGTGCCACTTTGTATTAGATTTCATTGAAAGTGGTAATGTAATTATTTTTTACACTAATCGTAAAATAAGGCAAAGATCTTCAAAGATCACTATCTAAACCAAAAAAGAACAGGCAAAATATTTGCCCGAGATCAAATATCTCAAGTTCCTTCGCTTCTACGAATCCTATATTCTAATCGCACAATAGAAACAACGAAGACTGAAATTATTCTTCAAATGCAACGTAAAAGAAGCTTCTTTTCGTGGCTCGAAGCTAAAAACGTGGAAGAATGCGTTCCCACGAGCGATCAAATTCGAAATCTTTGCGGTGAATTCCGCGTCGTCTTTGATAGCTCCGCGGAAACGTTCGAGCAGACGCCAGATGCCGGGCGGTATGTAAACGGTGGGAAACGTTGTGTCTCCGCGTGCGTATTAGCAGCACGCCGCGGCGGCGGTCCCGGTGTGACGTCAATCGGCAATTGCGTGTACGGGACGTTCCCCGTTTCGTCAGACCGGTCGGTGCAGCACGTGTGTCCAATGCAAAAGGTGCATGGAAACGCGGGGATGCTCGGCGGCCACTCATTAGCCGAACGGTTGCGCCGCTGCAATTCGCAATCCGGCTTCGTTCGCCTTTTTCACGCGGCGCGTTAAAAACTACGGACTGCTGCTGTTGCTGCTGCCGCTCATCCCCTGCGCTCTTTCTCTCTGTTCCCCTGTTGCCGCCACATCACCACCACCACCCTCTGATTGACCCGTCCGATACAGCGGGGATACCATGTCGGTGCACGTATACAGATACGAACAGACACACAGATACCTCGGCGCGTGTGCAAAAGCCAGACGGCAAGCCTGGTCCTGGCTGCTGCCTGCTGGTGCTGCTTACTCGTCCGGCCGCATCGCATTTCGACGGCGACGAAACGAGCGCCGACGGCACGAGCAGAGCATTCGTATGATAACGAGCGTAACTCTGCGAGACATGAAACGGAATAGTAGAGGGGATCGTCGCGAGGGGCAGAGATGAAAACGGGAACAGCAGTGAGCGAGAGGGAGGCGACAGAAGAGGTGCCCCCGGGTAATGAATGCAAATGTATTGAAATCCAAATCATTATTTTGTCTAGACGCATCGTATGCTCTATTGCACGCTCCGAGCTTAAGGAGGGGACACACGCCGGGCTACCCGCGCTACGGGGGTGGATTAAGGGGGGCGGGAGCGGTGGAGGCCGTTGTTTTCTCTCGTCTCTGTGTACCTTGACGCGCGCGTCTGCTAATTTGCTTGTACCTTTATCCCTGTGATGTCCGACGTTTTTCTGGTGAATTTGTCTGTGACGTCCCACCCCTTCCGCCCTCGCCCCCGCTGTGTTACGATCCACGCCGCTCCGTGAACGACGTTTCTCTTTTGCGTCACGTTTTTTGCTCGTAAAACACCTTCCTACCGCCTCCCCCGTCATATTGTTGCGCTCTGTCACGATATGCACTGGTCGTGGCCTCGTCTCACTCGCGCTGTATCAGCGTCGCTGTTCACTCGCGTTAACGAGTGCGGTATAATTAATATATATATTTCTCATGCGTCCGCTTCGGGCTCTGTCTCTTCGCCGGAGCAATTTTACGAATCGTAAATGTACGTGTTTTACGGAAGATCGCGATAGAGAAAGTGGGATCAATTTTAGATACAATAGACGGCTGGTATTTCCTTATTCGGTAATTACACTTTGATTGTACGCTGGAGTGATACGTTTTTCTTTTTCTTTTAATTTGCTGATGTTAGTTGTGCACGATTTAACGATCTATGTGCGGTTAATTTTTAATTCCGTTCAACTGTACCCTTTTTTTTACCCGAAAACCTTATGTGTAAGAATTTTTAATTGTAAACAGAATATACTGTTAATAAAATTATTCGGTCGAGGGATGCCTTTAAACATTCCAATCATTTTGCAACGCTATAAAAGTTTCTCAGTTCGTAACATCCCAAATTCACGTTCATTCGAATACATCACGAAAGCATAAAAATGTCGCGTTTTAAGAAACAGCTTAACTAAGAGATACCTTTTTCCTGGGTGAAATAAAAATTGAAATAAAAACGGGACCGAATTCCTCCCCCTAGCTCGTTGTCGGTAAACGAAATTTACATCGAAGCCGGCCGTTACAATTCTACATCGATCCACCGGTTTTTACGCGTACGGTATTTCTGCGGGTTCCCTCTTTGTCGGGCCTGGCATGACCTACATCGTAAACTAGGAACACGCTCGCAGTCGTAGCGAAGGGGGGTGAAAAGGCGGAAGAAGGAAGACGAATGGTTCGCGGAGGGTGAATCCGCGCGCGTTCTGTTCGAGAGTCCGTAAACCAGACATTGTAAAGCCTTCGAATAGCGATTGCCACTAAACCGCGGGCACGCGATAAAGTATAAAATTGTCGCGGGCGCTATGAAAGTGGCGTTTGCAGGTGTAGGTAGGTGCGTGTCCTATCTGACCGAATGAAATCTCGGCAAGGTTCGTTTATTTAAGTACCTTCACCGATCGTCGAGTGCTTTTTATTATTGGCTCCTTCGGGGTGAAGAAGATTCGATCCCTAATAAGGTAGATATTCGAGATAACAGGTAGATGTGATTTTTTTACCTGGAAACTGGCTGTCGCTTGAGTAACCAAAGGTTCACCGTTCGAAAATTTCATTTCGATAATTTTGTAGAAAATATTTTTTTTTTTTTTGTTAATCGTACATTTTTGAAATAATTAAGAATTTCACTTGGTTAATTTTCATATAACGAATCGAATATAAAATTTAATTTCACCTCGCAAAGTTATCGAATTGGGGGATGAAACAATTTTTCGTCGGTCTTACTTTCGATGATTTCGGCGGGAAAATGTGGATAACTCTTAACAAATTGTCTCGTTGTTTGAAACATTTAATCTTCTTTATCACACAGCTCAGCTCCTGTCACTTATAAATAATGCAATAAGCGTACGATGTACTTGAGACTGTAAAGTTTAGCCGGCTCGTAACGTCGATCGTTAAACAATTGCAACCGAAACGCAATCGATGCAACGCATTACAATTCGCTGCTCCCTGCGAGGCGTCCTTAGAGTGCATCCGGAAACTGCAACAATTTCATTTTATGGACTTTCCACGTATATACCGACTGTTGCGAGCCGTTTCACGGTTACAGCGTGAACATCCACCCGGTAGTGCCTTTTACGATTTACATTCATTTCCATATTGCATCTGCTTGCCCTTTACAGTACCGCGTGGAAAAACCTGATTGATTAATGACGTAATAAATAATCCAAGGGAAGCTAGCGAGCGAATGAGGACTCGTGGTGCTTCCATAAAATCCTTCGTTGAAACAGCTTTCCGTGATTTTCTCTTTGAGGAAGTGTAATAGAATAGAACTAGCTTCGCAAAATTTCAAACTCTTCTCTATACTCGCGGATGATTCTGCAGATGATCATTTCGTGGAAATCTTCACAACAAACTCTGCCGTCGTTGATTAATTTCACAACGTCGAGAAGAAAAGAAACAGCGTACACTTGATATCGATACATTTTCTACAACGAACGTTCCACGCTTTGCAAAACTTCTTTATGCGAATCGTGGCATAAACCAGTAAAGAAACCAGGAATCTCGGTAAAACAGATCATTCCGGCGATAGTGGCGAGCGTCGCATGAAAATCACCCCTGCTCGTGGCAAATCTCCTCGCGCCACCAGTTCGAAGCAACTTTCTAAATGTGAATCAAAGATTCAGATCGCTGTAGATAACGGCGATCGTGTACCAACGCGTGTCATTGATTAATTATGCTTCTCGGCTGGAAACACGTGAATTTCGAATTAATTAAGCGGAATTCTAGAACCGAGTGGTTACTTCGTTCGATAAAACTACCTACATCTCACGATTCTAATAAAGCAAGCAGATATACATATATACGTACGTGTGTTTCTCGCATAATAAAGCCGTAACATTGTTCACCACTCCGGTTTGGAATTTAATCGAAAGCTACATGTGCGGTAAACGTAATTACTCGAGGAAAATCTTCTACGAATTAACCCCTGAACCTATAACAACGTGTCAGGCCCGTGGCAGAGATTCTGGCGAAGACGCGAGAGAAATAGTTATATCAATAAGAAAAATCCATCGTAATCCGAACTTTCGTTTCAATTCCTACGACTGAGAATTACAAACTATAATTAATCTGCAACAGATGAACTTCTATTACCCGATTCAGTACGCTTAGATGCACAGTCAGAAAAGAAATCATAGGTTAAGGGGTTGATCAAATGAAATGTGAAAAAAAATCGCGTAAAATCGTCATCAAAGCGAAGAAAAGTTAGACCACGAATGGGACACTTTTCAATTCATTTTGGCCCGAAGAGTTAGCTTGCTATTCCAAGCGAAATGATTAACGAAGTACGTATATCCTGCGCCTGTTTCTCTTCAACTCCCGATGGAACGCATCCCCTTTCGTTCCTCCAGCTCGCTTTCATCTTTCCTCTGGATAATCGTCGGCGGCGTCCGGATCGAGAGTGTTTTGATTCGCGCCACGTCCAGCAGTCGGAGAAAAAAGGAGGGCCGGATAAAAGTGAATCATAGGTCTTGACTCGCGACTCTCCCCGGTCTCCTGTTTGTCCGCCAAAACCTGTTGCTGGCCGTCCTCCTCCTGTTCGTTTCGCTGCCTTGTGCGCGCCTTCTATTCATCCACCGGCCCCTTTTTCTTCTGGCGAAAGCAAAAATAGTGGTAAGAGGAGAAAAAGGCACAGACACACACGCCGGGGCACAACGAGAATGCAGCCGCGAGTGCGAGAGTCGAAGAGAGACGGAAAACGGCGGCGATGGGATAGAGGGAGAGGCAGGAGAGAGAGACTTGTG